CATTACAACACGGCCGTAGAAATTGCTAGGGAAACAACTAGTTACTGATTACTGATAAGTAATATAAAAAATACATAAAAGAGACTGAGGCTAATGAACAAATTCTTAAAAGAACATAACACCTACAACAAAACATTAAAATATTTGGTAATATCCTCTCCCAAGTATTTGCATATTGATGTAAGAAGCAATTGTAGCACGAAATAAGTGGTCGTTGATTATTGAATACACGTAATCTACAGATCGATTAGTGACCTGATGTGCATGCATATAAAAACGGATAGAACGTGTGCTTTCTTTCCAAAATAATTTGCGACACCAAATGAAAAAGGTAACTCAAGTTAGTAAAGTCCTATTCACTATTGTATCACAACGAGAATGTTTTCACACATTATCTCTATAGACGGGGAGTTTTTCCAAGGGGTTTTGAGACAGTAAAATTTCATACCAGAGAAAATCATGTAGACAATCTAAATGTAGCACTAACAGGATAAAACTTACGATGCTACTTTAAAACATTGCAGAATAGTCCTTGAATTGGTCAAGTTATACATACCAGATTACGTAAAAATAAAAATATCATCATAAGAAATTAGTGTACAATCTGAAACCACTTTTTCTAGTGAGGTTATTCAACGTCATAATTTCTTAAATTAAATTAAATCGTAGCTTAAGCTTTATGTGGCGAAGGCCAACCGTTTAAAGTGAGACGAATAAAGAGATAATTAAAGTACTAATGCATGAACGGAGTATTATTCTTCAATAGATTTTCTTTGGGTTCTAGAGTTTCACATTCAAATTAATAATCCAGAGTGACCACGTTTAAGAAAAGTACATCATATAAGACCAAAGCATGTGAATTTAGGATTGTTCGTAAAACAAATAAAAATTACAGCAGAACCCAAAGTGAATCTACTAGAAACAATAATCATCGTTCATATATTAGTATTTTAATATGAGGATTTTTAAAAGAAATATCTGCTTAGAAGCAATGGTTTAACTAGTGGTCGCTGAGCTTTTTTAACATCCTACTATTGAATATCAAAGTTGTAAACTTTCCCACACTGTGATTCCAAAGGCATCTCATACTGTTTTCTTATTCATGTTTTAACATGTTTTTCGTCTTCGTATATGTAGACGCGTTACCATACTGTTAGGCATTCCTTAAAAAAATAACCTAACCTAAAGGTCGTGACTTAAACAGCCAACAAAATGAATTTTACATTTTCATGAAGCACAATTGATATTACAGCATATCTTCAAATAATTAAGTATTGTTCTACATTAACGTGATGGCCATAAAAAGCTTTGGTTCAAAGAGAAAATAGTAAACTCAGTAGGAAGATGTGATTTGCCATTCGTACTTTTCATACGGGGATATTTTTTAAATGAAGCGGAGAATTCATTTGATACTTGATCAATAAACTCATCATAATCAGATTATAGTAGTACATCTTTGCTGAACAACCAGACACAAGTGCGACGCCTCTTCCGTCGATCAGAGAAGCACAAATAAATGGTGTGGGATGTCCAGATTGCGCGAAAAACCGGATCATTCAACGTCACAGAAATGACAATACACAAGCCAGATTTGTGTGAAATAAGTAAAACTATATGTACATAATCTGGACAGAAAACATTTCATTTCAGGAGAACTGTTGTATTCTCGTCATAAGGAAGAGAGCGCCACACATACACGAGTTGCACTGATGCTGTTCAGAAAAACACGAAAACCGCCTATAACATGGGAGGCCTAAGGCGACAGGATTATCGAAACATCCTCCAAAGCAAAAAAGAAAACATTGCAACGAATATGCTCACTAATACACACCTATCAATGATGTCAGTAAAGATGATGAAGACCTATTCTACCAGAGAATACAGTCCATCGTAAAAAAATGTCCAGTGAACACGCATACAGGATCCTAGTGTGGTCATTCACTTGACCTCACCTCGCCAAAACTAGGATCCGACGAGATAGACCCTCTGGGATCTGCCGACGCGACGACTACTTCTCGTGGACTGGCGGGTGTAGGCATAGTAGTATGTACGAGCACTTTTGGAATGGATATCTTTTAACAGTCGCCTATATGTTGTCCGGTTAATGGACACAAGGTTGACTTCTCGTTATTCCTGTCTATGTTCCCACCGATTGCAACCTGTATGAAGTTGTTGGGGTTATCCAGAGGACGTCTCGCAAAAGACAAGCAAGGATCAGGAAAACACTAAGAAGCATTTTATCCAATCAGCAAGACTTATCAGTAGCGACGGGAAAACTACAATATTTCTTTGGAGCAGCTAGAAGCTTATATGGAGCGTCAATAAAAGAGGTTTGAACAGTCTCAAATCAGAATCATGAAAGCCCTGATGCAGAAATTGTGTCTGTCTCAGCAAAAACGTGCTCCTGGTGAATCGCAAGTATCTCATACTGATTCAGTCATTAATGCATTCCATGAATTTAATTTTGATGGTGCAGCATGTGTAACTTGATTCTTGGTTTATAAAGTATGAAGATTTGTTCTATATTGATCTCTGCAAACTTGATGATGCTTCAAAGTCAGAATACTTCTAAGAAAACCTGGGACGATGGAACATGAACGCTATAGTAACCGCATTCTCCCGAAGAATCCACGAGACTTAAGTTTTGATGAAACAATTAAAACCGTCTCAAATCTTTGGAGAACAATCATCTCTATTCGATAACCGTTACCAATGCTTGAAGATAACGAAAGAACCAGATGACTGGGTGAAACATGCAGGAATTGTGAACCGAGAATGTGAGAGGTTCAAATTATCTTCCATGACTGAAGACCAGTTTAATTGCCTGGTATTTGCCTGTAACCTGCGTTCACCCAAAGATGCTGACATCCGAACACGAATCCTAAGCAAGCTTGAACATTGTCCTAACATGACCCTGCAGGAAGTAACTACCGAATGCCAAAGGTTAGTGAATTTGAAGCATGATACCTCGATGGTTGAGACCGGTAACCGGTTCCTCCACGTCAATACAATCTAGAGAAAAGTCTCACAAGGTTCCAGCCCGCCGTATTATCGTAATGACAGCGACAAACCATCACCCTCATGCTGGTTGTGTGGCGGTTGTGACTTCAAAAGGTTTTGTACGTTTAAAAATCATCGTTGTACTGTGTTCCAGGAAAGGGCACAAAGAATGTCATTACAAAACCCGGAAACGCCGTCAAGAGAAAGTGTATTCTAAAAGATTCAAGCCACAAACAGCTAAAGTAACCTTGGCTCTTCACAAAGCCGGCTCCCAAAACCGTAGAAAGTATGTTTCTTTCAGGATTAATGGGTATGATGCCCGCTTACAGTTAGACACAGCCTCCGATATAACACTTATAAGCGAGAGAACGTGGGAGAAAATTGGGAGACCGCAAATATATTCAACTCATCCATCAGCACATGGTGCATCTGGGGGAATTCTAAACATTGCTTGTGAAATTCATTGTGAAGTCACAGTCAAAGAGTTTACGGAGAAGTGTAATATTTCTGACAGAACGTCCATCACTCGACCTATTGGGGCTTGATTGGATAGAAAGGTTAAAGTTAACAGACCGCCCCATAAACTCGATCTGCAACAATGTTAGTGCGTCGAAATTCGAGGACACATTCAAAAGAGCACTACTGAAAGGGGAAGGAGAGGGAACAAGTCAGGTAATTACGAAATTCTTAACAGCTTACAGAACTACGCCTAACCTTATCGTCCCAGATGGGAAATCCTCTGCTGAAGCGACGTTCTGGAGAAGCATCCAAACTATATTCGACGTCATGTTACCACCTAAACCAATGGATGGACGCAGACAAAATCAGAATATCCGTCTCGCAAAAGACAAGCAAGGATCAGGAAAACACTAAGAAGCATTTTATCCAATCAGCGTTCGATTAGCAAGACTTATCAGAAGTGAAAGATGACTTTCACAAAAAGCTTTCTGTACTTCTTCAAAAAGTTAAACTCTCAAACATAGTGCTCGTAGCAGGTGACTTTAATGCCTAGCTAGGTAGCTTAAACTCAACAGAAAGATATTTAAGTCGATATTCTGGTATTCCGGCTCAGCGTACAGATAATGGTGAACGAGTCCTGCAGCAGTGTTATGTTTCTGATGGCTGTGTATCAATTACCCTGAAGAACTTACGTATCGAACCGATGTCATTTGTTGAAAAGAATATTTTATTTGAGGTTGAGCTATTCAAAGTACTTCTTTTTATCGAGCTTTGGGGAAGATTTTCAGTGCTTACAGCAACCCATGTTCAGTTAATGTGCCTGCTTTAAAAGTACAAATAGTGGCAAAAAGAGTATATATGTCGGTTTGGCTATTGGAACATGATTTATACAGAAACAATAGTTTGGTTGAAAGCTAGGTTATAGCTAATACAATGTTAAGATGTTCACTGATTGCCTATGCGACATTATTATCACTTGAAATTGAGATGCTTAAAGATGAGTCTTTTATTGACAGTGGATACATCCGACTTATTGTCGCAATTTCTTTTTTTAGAAAAATAATATTTTTATGGCGAACCTCACAATTCCTACTTAAAGTAAGGTCATTGGAAACGATATACCCTATTTGATTTAACAAAGAGTATGAATATCAGTCAATAATTAATACTGTATATACACAAATTACATGCACTTTTCTGACAGTACTTTAATATCACAGGGCAATGTCCTCAAGTAACGCCATAGAACTCTTCTCTGAAACCTCATTTAAATCTTTCCGCATCTGACAACACGGAGAACAGAGTTCCTTTGTAAGATAACGCAAGGATTGTTCAGATGGGACTATTCAGGCTGTGAACGAACACGATACTAAATAAAATTACGGTATTACAGTCCATTAAGATTGAGGTGTTTCTTATTAAGCAAATATCAATGGTCAACATAAAATTATCACATTCAGTGTCTGACTGAATACCAGTGCCTTGAACGACTGGTAAATTGAATTAGATCATTTATCAACTACAATACCATATGCACGAATTTGATGAAAAAATATTTATTCAATGTGAAACGATAACTTTAATATTTAATTCATTTGTACAAATTTACCAATGAACAGGTGCATCGAGGAATCAATATTTTACATTAAACTTTACAGACATATACATATTCCTTGCAATGACAAATATATTACCCATCTGGAAAAATCAGAAAACGTAAGAACAATTATAATTTAAACACAATCTACCAAATAATTACTTAGCTGAAATCGAAGTAAATACCAATGCTTAAATCATTGGTAATTTGTAAGATTACTATCGTGCGTTATGGACCGTAAAAGTGGCATTAGGGATGGGGGCATAAGAACGAAAAATTTTCATCATTGCAGCAACTAGTCCTTAGGGGATAGCTTAATGAAATATACCCATATTACTGAAACTATGTTAGCAAATGAAGGTCCTCCTATATGAGGACAAAGGATACTTTTAGGTTTCTCGAAACAAAGCCGATGTGTTTGAAGATTAACTTCAATACCTAGAAGGTGTGTGCAAGTATGGAGAATACTGAATTTCTCTTGAAGACTAGTTGTCAAGAATGCAAGATTCATTGATTCTAAAATTGAATTTGTGAAACAATATAGACTTTCCCCAAGGATTTAAATTTACACACAAACATACCTAAAATTGCTCGGAAGGAAACAAAAAACTGCAATGGAATCGTGGCTCGAAATCGGTTGAATTAGTGTAGATGTATACATTCTTTAGCTTTTCTATCCACATTGTCATTTTTCTTTTATAAACTCAATTCTGTGTTCCTTTTATTGCTATTATCAACACGATTTTTCCAAGCTTAACATGTTAGCCTTCTATCTTTCACTGTCCAGATATTATGTGTACCAAATGAGTCCGGCAGAAAATTGTGCCAAGCTTCATGTTGTTTATCATTGAAACAATTCGTTTTAACGATAATTGTAACTATGCGGCTAAGTAACTCATGTTTTTATGGTCTGGAGAAGTCGTTATCAATAAATTTTGCTTTTCATATGGTCAGTATAATCACTGATTGTAACAAAAAATGTAACGAGAGTAAGGGCTAACATCGATATACGAAATAGATTGAAATGTGTAGAAAGAATTTTAATCACTTTCAAAAAAAGTGAGCACTATTCACTAAGCTGATAGTAGTTCTTTCCGAGGGTACTGTCCAGTAGAGTACAAAAATGAAAAGTGTCCACCACAGACAAACCGAATTCGATATAACTAAGTAAGATGTCAGCTGAGTACAAGGCATTACGCAACCGCAATCGCTTAAGTATAGAGGCTTTATCAATGGAATATATATTTTTCAAGAAATCATTTTTCGAATTACTACTTTAACAACTTTTGATCGGTCCAATAGGATTCTAAATTTAAGCAGAACAATTTCGCTAGAGTGAAGTGTAATGAAAAGAAACACCAGAAAATATAATTTTTCTACTCATTGGTATATCATAAATTCTTTATTTAATTATAAGAATCTACCCAATTCTCAATTTATTCGAAATTATCAAATCAAATCTTGGTAATGATACCTGTAAAAACAATGTTTATGTTCTAAAATCTAATGGAGAGAAGTGGGACTTTTTTCGTTATATTATGGCCAGGGTTCAACTAAATAGTAAACGTATTATTTCAAAAACAGTAAATATAGCTGTAGTCGAATTGGTGCTATTTAATTTACTGCGATGAATGAGCTATAGTAGACAGCTAATAGGACCAGTATGAATGAACTACGACTATAATGTACACTGACTAACTGAGGAATAGTCTCAAAGTAAGAAACTTATACGTTATGAAAGTAATCTATAAAGGGCATCCTATATTTGCTTGATTTACCTGCGATATATCTTTTTTACTAGCTTGATGGGACATTAGAAGCTCGGTGTAAAGTTCCATTCATATTGTCAAATAATAAATAAAACTAGTTTCCGTGTAGTAGTTCTCACAGCTTCTTAATCAAGTTATATCAATATATTCCTCAGCAATATTATCATTATCAACACGAAAAATTCTAATTTTACACGAAATATTGTTAGAGACAATGTGATAACAGTTCATTTACAGAACAAAAATGATTATCTTTTAAGCGCACATATTGATACAGATGAAAACCAAATTCAATTTTGCAAGCAGGTAATTTAACACAATAAGTAAATTATGTGTACATACCTTGATCGAATACTATGTGTTTTGGATTGTCACCGATGTGACTCCTGTCTTTGGTTTTGAACTCCTTTTTCTTATGAGACTGTGGAGTGTTCGCTAAAATAAAAACATTCTGGATACACAAGTGAAAACTGCTATATATATATATATATATATATATATATATATATATATATATATATATATATATATCAACGCTTAATGAGTCTCTGTGTTGTATTTGTTTCGTTCATGTAAGTGCATACAAGAAACACAGAATAAAGAGCAACCACATTAAATGTAAAGTAAGTACGACTATTTCAACATTGGACTATTTACTTACACGAATGCGAATCGGTCATATTTACGTCTATGCACTCATATTTTCGTTTTTTTAATTTGTGCTTTTTATTGGCTAGATAGATGAAAAAGAAGTAAAATTATTCTAAGTGATCAACTCGATATAAATCAATACAGTATTCTATTTTTTAAGTAAATCATTAGGACCAGTCCAAGTAGGAGTGACAAGTTAAACGGTAAGTTTGTTAGTCCATGTACCACATGCGTGGAGCCAATTTACTGGATACTATGAGGTGATCACAGTAAAAGTTGGAATCAAAGATTTCGTACTAAATTACACCATTAGTTCATGAAATGAAAAACCCACAATTTGAATCATTTGGAAGAGATTTAATTTCCATATTGCATATCAGGAAAGGAAAGAAATCAATGGTTTGATACATGAATTGATTACAATAACACAAATCTATTCACTACCCTACTTGACCCTTGAAATTTGTAGCACCTATACTGTTTTCTTTAATCACTTGTTTCAGTTCTCTTTGCTTTGTTTAATATTCATTCGATTTCGGTGCATAAGTTGAGTGGATGTACTTCAATGCAAAATTTTACGTCAATATGTCTAACTGTTACGTAAGTTGTCTATTTGTTGTAGCAATCCCTTACATTGTTTTACTGCTAAATGTAAATCTTCTCTAATGAAATAAGATGAGTAGATAGTTGGTCGTTACGATTCCTAAAGTATACATAATAGAGAATGCAAATAAGCAGTATTCACCTGAGTCTGAAGCCACAAGTTTAATATTCTCCAAAGAGACATCCATTTTTTCAAGTTTCTGTTTTTTTGATTTATTCTTTTTATCTATTGAACAAAGTACAATAAGAATAGACACAATCAAGCATAATGCATTATCGTTGCAACATTGATTCGGTAAAGGAGTGTGTGAAAAATCATCTTTTACTAAAAACATCAGAGAAGCTGATGAAAACCTAGAACGTTTTGGCTGAAATGTGAACTTGTTTCGGTATTAATCAATAAAAGGTTTAAGGATATAGGGTTAGTATATAAACATACGTGAATCAATTTAACAAATTCTTTTATGATAAACATGTACTGTAATATCTGAACATTCAAAGCGGGACATCATACATAAGTGTGTTAAATGTTTCGAAAGGAAAAAGTCAAGCCTTTTTCTAAAACATCATTGTCTGTCAAACATCAGAACAACAACGCTAGAAAAGTTCATTTTTACACTAAAAATTACAATGTGGAGTTAAGCAGGAACCGGTGTCAAGTGATAATTCTTATAACCTTTTAACCATTACTACCGTCAATGATATAGATTAATTTCATGCAATTAGTTCCCTTTATGAATTTAAATAAAGCCAGAACAAACATGGATGCATAATAATATGAATTCATCATATTTTGTGGTTTCTCATCAGCTCTTTACAACTAAATATGTATTAAAATTTTACATTGAGGTAAGATATAATGTGAAACAATTGACATAGATGATTTCATCTCCTTTGGAGCGTAAGTATAAGAAGCAGTTTTTCTTTTCAACTGTGTATCGTATTTAACCCAAAGGTTGGTTTTCGCATGCTTCTCGATTAACTTCGCTGGATATGCATTTTCACGTAAGTAATTTGTAATGAGAGAAATTTCATCTTCCAGGCATTCCGTTGAGCAAATTTTGCGCGCGCGGTCAAAAAGGGTTCTTACAACACCCTTTTTGTAACTCATTGGACAGAAACTGTTGTAATTGAGATAGACTCCACTCCAGATATTTTTGAGGTGAATGTGTCTTTGCAATGTGCCATCTGAGGTTCGTCTGATTCCAATATTTAAGAAATGGGATTTACCTTCTACTTCGTGTTCCATAATAAAATCTATATCCTTGTGTGCTTTCTCAAACAGATTGAGTAGGTTCATAGAATGCATGATTGCTACAGACGAGTAATGTGTCATCAACATATCTACAGTAGTGTAGTTCCATCGATTGCGTGCTTGAGCCTCCTCTGCTTCAGGTTTCTCATAAATATATCGGCCAGAGTTGGACCCAGAGGGCTACTACATCAATTTGGCGGCACAACACATTATTAAATTTAAATTGTATGTTTTTGGTACACAGGAACGAGAGCTGTTTGAATTTGTGGATTGGTAAAGGCAGGAGTTCAGGATATTCACATATGATAACTGCCGTTTCTTTCAAAGGGATCTTTGTGAAGAGTGATGAGACATCAAACGAGACCATGAATTTATCGGAAGCATTTAAGCTGTCAAGTTTTCGTACAAATCTGGAATTACCTTTCGGCCTGTAGTATGATAGTTTCTTGAGGATTGGTTCTATGCACCTACTCAGTCAGCGGGCGAGTCTATGGAAAGGCGATTCGGTCATAGATAATATTGGTCTTATCGGGATGTTAGGTTTTTGTATTTTAGGTAGGCCGTATATGTAAGATAATTACGATTCTTTCGGTTTGAGTTCATTGTACGTATGATTATCGATTAGATTTTTCTTAAAGAGTTCTCTCAACTTTTTTAAAAGACGTTTTTCAGTTGCATCTGTTAGGTCTTTCGACAATAAATCTCACAATGGACATTACTTTGCTAATGTATTTGTCTCTGTTTAGGATGCCTACACCGGAACCCTTATCTGGACGAAGTAGCAATATTGTTTCATCTTTCATAAGCTTTTTCAATGCTTGCTGATGATCTTTAGTCAACACCTTAGATTGCTGAACTGGTGTCGTAACACACTGAATTTGTAATATCCACTAATTTTGATTTCAAACCAACTTTGTTTTACATCGTTCATGGGTTTTAGGCCTGACAACTATTGATATAAATACTCGAATTGCATTTCGGTGTCGATTCTGATACATTTTTTCGAAATATGAAATTGAAATCCAAGGGAGAGCGCTTCCGTTTTAATTCAACTTTTTTTACTTGATAAACTCTGTATGTAATTTCCTGGATTAGTAGGAAAGACGTCATGCTCTTGTTCTTTTACAACTGTTTCCGTTAATGTCTTCATGAGTTTGATTCGACATACAATATTTAAATCCATAACAATTCTGTCAAAACTAAGGGATTCTATTTTGAGTATAGAGATAAGTTTCTTGGTACATTTAATTTGGGATTTTGTGATGCGTCGCAGATTTTTTGATAAAGAAGGTATTTTACATGCACGTACAGTTTTAATAATATGACGAGCAAAGCGACCATCATTCTAGCAGTGTTCAAAAAACTTTAATCTTGTTGTTTCTCTCGACATCCTGTAACAGATTGCCAACAAATTATTGAGACTTGAAAATATAGATTAATGGTTTTTAATTCAATTAATATTAGTTGTTATCAGAAGGATACACTTACATTAGGTGTTTCATCAAGAATATTCAGGTAAGTACAACATTTTCTGGTTAGCGTTTTTTTAGCGAGAGATGGGGTCGCTAACCCCATGCCTGACCCGTGTCCTTTATCTGGGCTTGGGACCGGCAGTAGCCCCCGGCAAGGGACTCTGAAAATCACCGTAAACCAGAACGACCAGTGAAAAACAAGGAAGGCAAGATAAACACCAACATTGAAGAACAACGAAACAGGTGGGTAGAACACTTCAAAGAACTCTTGAATCGACCAGCCCCACTGAACCCACCTAACATCGAAGCAGCACTCACAGACCTCCCAACTGATGTTGGCGCACCGACAATTGAAGAAATCAGCATGGCTATCAGACAAATCAAGAGTGGCAAAGCAGCAGGACTAGACAGCATTCCAGCAGAGGCACTGAAAGCAGACGTAGCGGCAACTGCAAGGATACTCCAAACTCTCTTCAGAAAGATCTGGGATGAGGAACAGGTACCAAAAGACTGGAAAGAAGGACTTCTAGTCAAAATACCAAAGAAAGGCGATCTCAGCAACTGTGACAACTACAGGGGAATCACTCTTCTTTCAATACCAGGAAAAGTCTTCAACAGGGTATTGTTAAACAGGATGAAGGACTCCGCAGACGCCCAACTTCGTGACCAACAGGCAGGATTCCGTAAGGATAGATCGTGCACAGACCAAATCGCAACTCTACGGATCATTGTGGAACAATCAATTGAATGGAATTGATCACTCTATATCAACTTCATTGACTACGAAAAAGCATTTGATAGCGTGGACAGAACAACCCTATGGAAGCTTCTTCGACACTACGGCGTGCCTCAGAAGATAGTCAATATCATACGGAATTCCTACGGTGAATTAAACTGCAAAATCGTGCATGGAGGACAGTTGACAAAGTCGTTCGAAGTAAAGACCGGTGTCAGGCAAGGTTGCTTACTCTCACCCTTTCTCTTTCTCCTGGTGATCGACTGGATCATGAAGACGTCAACATCTGAAGGGAAGCACGGGATACAGTGGACAGCTAGGATGCAATTGGATGATCTAAACTTCGCAGGTGATCTGGCTTTTCTATCGCATACGCAACAACAAATGCAGGAGAAGACAACCAGTGTAGCTGCAGCCTCAGCAGCAATAGGTCTCAATATACACAAAGGGAAAAGCAAGATTCTTCGATACAACACAGCATGTATCAATCCAATCACAATTGACGGAGAAGCTTTGGAAGATGTAAATACCTTTACATATTTGAGCAGTATCATCGATGAACACGGTGGATCTGATGCAGATGTGAAGGCACGGATTGGCAAAGCAAGAGCAGCATATTTACAACTGAAGAACATCTGGAACTCAAAACAATTGGCAACCAACACCAAAGTCAGAATTTTCAATACAAATGTCAAGACAGTTCTACTGTATGGGGCGGAAACCTGGATAACTACGAAATCCATCATCCAAAAGATACAGGTGTTCATTAACAGTTGTCTACGCAAAATACTTCAGATCCGCTGGTCGGACACTATTAGCAACAACCTACTGTGGGAGAGAACAAATCAGATCCCAGTGGAGGAAGAAATCAGGAAGAAGCGTTGGAAGTGGATAGGACACATATTGAGGAAAGCACCGAACTGCCTCACAAGACAAGCCCTCACATGGAATCCTCAAGGTCGAAGGAGGAGAGGAAGACCAAAGAAAACATTACGCCGAAAAATGGAGATAGATATGAGAAAAATGAACAAGAATTGGATGGAACTAGAAAAGAAGGCCCAGGACAGAGTGGGTTGGAGAATGCTGGTCGGCGGCCTATGCTCCATTGGGAGTAACAGGCGTAAGTAAGTAAGTAAGTACAACATTAAAATAAGTTAAGCGATATTTAACAGAAGAAAAGAAGTGTGTTGGGACTAACACACTAAGTACTAACAGAAATCAAAGAATACAGTTACTTTAGAATACAAAAGTGAGTTTAATAGTGGTAAGAAAATTCTACAAGTCCCCATTCAAGCTAAACAAATTCAACTAACAGCTATAGGTAAATACGATTTAACCAACAAGCTAGGTAACCACATTATCACTTTAAGTTGAAAATTCTCTCAACACAGATGCATATACGATGAAAAGTTATCCAATGTCTTACTACGAAAAACACTCAAAGGAGAAGAAAAGTTCTTCCTTACCTGATTCTGAAAATGTCATTTCACCATTTTCAGCTGAATCACTCGTCTTTGATTTCGGTTCATCAATTTTGTTTTTGTCATCTACCAAACAAAACATACAGAGAACCCTAGTTTAATTAATGCTTCGTAAATATCAAAATCAACATTAATTATTGTGTAATTTCGTAAAAAATATTAATAAATTTCAACTTTTACTCTGCAATGAAAAATATATTACCCATTTGGAAAAATATGAAAACATAAGAAAAATTATTATTTAAACACAATCTACCAAATAATTACTTTGATAGCTGAAATCGAAATACCAATATCAAAATCATCGGTAATTTGTAAGATTATTATCGCTATATTGTGGCCAGGGTTCAACTAAATAGTAAACGTATTATTTCAAAAACAGTAAATATAGCTGTAGTCGAATTGGTGCTATTTAATTTACTGCGATGAATGAGCTATAGTAGACAGCTAATAGGACCAGTATGAATGAACTACGACTATAATGTACACTGACTAACTGAGGAATAGTCTCAAAGTAAGAAACTTATACGTTATGAAAGTAATCTATAAAGGGCATCCTATATTTGCTTGATTTACCTGCGATATCTTTTTTACTAGCTTGATGGGACATTAGAAGCTCGGTGTAAAGTTCCATTCATATTGTCAAATAATAAATAAAACTAGTTTCCGTGTAGTAGTTCTCACAGCTTCTTAATCAAGTTATATCAATATATTCCTCAGCAATATTATCATTATCAACACGAAAAATTCTAATTTTACACGAAATATTGTTAGAGACAATGTGATAACAGTTCATTTACAGAACAAAAATGATTATCTTTTAAGCGCACATATTGATACAGATGAAAACCAAATTCAATTTTGCAAGCAGGTAATTTAACACAATAAGTAAATTATGTGTACATACCTTGATCGAATACTATGTGTTTTGGATTGTCACCGATGTGACTCCTGTCTTTGGTTTTGAACTCCTTTTTCTTATGAGACTGTGGAGTGTTCGCTAAAATAAAAACATTCTGGATACACAAGTGAAAACTGCTATATATATATATATATATATATATATATATATATATATATATCAACGCTTAATGAGTCTCTGTGTTGTATTTGTTTCGTTCATGTAAGTGCATACAAGAAACACAGAATAAAGAGCAACCACATTAAATGTAAAGTAAGTACGACTATTTCAACATTGGACTATTTACTTACACGAATGCGAATCGGTCATATTTACGTCTATGCACTCATATTTTCGTTTTTTTAATTTGTGCTTTTTATTGGCTAGATAGATGAAAAAGAAGTAAAATTATTCTAAGTGATCAACTCGATATAAATCAATACAGTATTCTATTTTTTAAGTAAATCATTAGGACCAGTCCAAGTAGGAGTGACAAGTTAAACGGTAAGTTTGTTAGTCCATGTACCACATGCGTGGAGCCAATTTACTGGATACTATGAGGTGATCACAGTAAAAGTTGGAATCAAAGATTTCGTACTAAATTACACCATTAGTTCATGAAATGAAAAACCCACAATTTGAATCATTTGGAAGAGATTTAATTTCCATATTGCATATCAGGAAAGGAAAGAAATCAATGGTTTGATACATGAATTGATTACAATAACACAAATCTATTCACTACCCTACTTGACCCTTGAAATTTGTAGCACCTATACTGTTTTCTTTAATCACTTGTTTCAGTTCTCTTTGCTTTGTTTAATATTCATTCGATTTCGGTGCATAAGTTGAGTGGATGTACTTCAATGCAAAATTTTACGTCAATATGTCTAACTGTTACGTAAGTTGTCTATTTGTTGTAGCAATCCCTTACATTGTTTTACTGCTAAATGTAAATCTTCTCTAATGAAATAAGATGAGTAGATAGTTGGTCGTTACGATTCCTAAAGTATACATAATAGAGAATGCAAATAAGCAGTATTCACCTGAGTCTGAAGCCACAAGTTTAATATTCTCCAAAGAGACATCCATTTTTTCAAGTTTCTGTTTTTTGATTTATTCTTTTTATCTATTGAACAAAGTACAATAAGAATAGACACAATCAAGCATAATGCATTATCGTTGCAACATTGATTCGGTAAAGGAGTGTGTGAAAAATCATCTTTTACTAAAAACATCAGAGAAGCTGATGAAAACCTAGAACGTTTTGGCTGAAATGTGAACTTGTTTCGGTATTAATCAATAAAAGGTTTAAGGATATAGGGTTAGTATATAAACATACGTGAATCAATTTAACAAATTCTTTTATGATAAACATGTACTGTAATATCTGAACATTCAAAGCGGGACATCATACATAAGTGTGTTAAATGTTTCGAAAGGAAAAAGTCAAGCCTTTTTCTAAAACATCATTGTCTGTCAAACATCAGAACAACAACGCTAGAAAAGTTCATTTTTACACTAAAAATTACAATGTGGAGTTAAGCAGGAACCGGTGTCAAGTGATAATTCTTATAACCTTTTAACCATTACTACCGTCAATGATATAGATTAATTTCATGCAATTAGTTCCCTTTATGAATTTAAATAAAGCCAGAACAAACATGGATGCATAATAATATGAATTCATCATATTTTGTGGTTTCTCATCAGCTCTTTACAACTAAATATGTATTAAAATTTTACATTGAGGTAAGATATAATGTGAAACAATTGACATAGATGATTTCATCTCCTTTGGAGCGTAAGTATAAGAAGCAGTTTTTCTTTTCAACTGTGTATCGTATTTAACCCAAAGGTTGGTTTTCGCATGCTTCTCGATTAACTTCGCTGGATATGCATTTTCACGTAAGTAATTTGTAATGAGAGAAATTTCATCTTCCAGGCATTCCGTTGAGCAAATTTTGCGCGCGCGGTCAAAAAGGGTTCTTACAACACCCTTTTGTAACTCATTGGACAGAAACTGTTGTAATTGAGATAGACTCCACTCCAGATATTTTTGAGGTGAATGTGTCTTTGCAATGTGCCATCTGAGGTTCGTCTGATTCCAATATTTAAGAAATGGGATTTACCTTCTACTTCGTGTTCCATAATAAAATCTATATCCTTGTGTGCTTTCTCAAACAGATTGAGTAGGTTCATAGAATGCATGATTGCTACAGACGAGTAATGTGTCATCAACATATCTACAGTAGTGTAGTTCCATCGATTGCGTGCTTGAGCCTCCTCTGCTTCAGGTTTCTCATAAATATATCGGCCAGAGTTGGACCCAGAGGGCTACTACATCAATTTGGCGGCACAACACATTATTAAATTTAAATTGTATGTTTTTGGTACACAGGAACGAGAGCTGTTTGAATTTGTGGATTGGTAAAGGCAGGAGTTCAGGATATTCACATATGATAACTGCCGTTTCTTTCAAAGGGATCTTTGTGAAGAGTGATGAGACATCAAACGAGACCATGAATTTATCGGAAGCATTTAAGCTGTCAAGTTTTCGTACAAATCTGGAATTACCTTTCGGCCTGTAGTATGATAGTTTCTTGAGGATTGGTTCTATGCACCTACTCAGTCAGCGGGCGAGTCTATGGAAAGGCGATTCGGTCATAGATAATATTGGTCTTATCGGGATGTTAGTTTTTTGTATTTTAGGTAGGCCGTATATGTAAGATAATTACGATTCTTCGGTTTGAGTTCATTGTACGTATGATTATCGATTAGATTTTTCTTAAAGAGTTCTCTCAACTTTTTTAAAAGACGTTTTTCAGTTGCATCTGTTAGGTCTTTCGACAATAAATCTCACAATGGACATTACTTTGCTAATGTATTTGTCTCTGTTTAGGATGCCTACACCGGAACCCTTATCTGGACGAAGTAGCAATATTGTTTCATCTTTCATAAGCTTTTTCAATGCTTGCTGATGATCTTTAGTCAACACCTTAGATTGCTGAACTGGTGTCGTAACACACTGAATTTGTAATATCCACTAATTTTGATTTCAAACCAACTTTGTTTTACATCGTTCATGGGTTTTAGGCATCGAAGCAGCACTCACGGACCTCCCAATTGATGTTGGCGCACCGACAATTGAAGAAATCAGCATGGCTATCAGACAAATCAAGAGTGGCAAAGCAGCAGGACTAGACAGCATTCCAGCAGAGGCACTGAAAGCAGACGTAGCGGCAACTGCAAGGATACTCCAAACTCTCTTCAGAAAGATCTGGGATGAGGAACAGGTACCAAAAGACTGGAAAGAAGGACTTCTAGTCAAAATACCAAAGAAAGGCGATCTCAGCAACTGTGACAACTACAGGGGAATCACTCTTCTTTCAATACCAGGAAAAGTCTTCAACAGGGTATTGTTAAACAGGATGAAGGACTCCGTAGACGCCCAACTTCGTGACCAACAGGCAGGATTCCGTAAGGATAGATCGTGCACAGACCAAATCGCAACTCTACGGATCATTGTGGAACAATCAATTGAATGGAATTGATCACTCTATATCAACTTCATTGACTACGAAAAAGCATTTGATAGCGTGGACAGAACAACCCTATGGAAGCTTCTTCGACACTACGGCGTGCCTCAGAAGATAGTCAATATCATACGGAATTCCTACGGTGAATTAAACTGCAAAATCGTGCATGGAGGACAGTTGACAAAGTCGTTCGAAGTAAAGACCGGTGTCAGGCAAGGTGCTTACTCTCACCCTTTCTCTTTCTCCTGGTGATCGACTGGATCATGAAGACATCAACATCTGAAGGAAAGCACGGGATACAGTGGACAGCTAGGATGCGATTGGATGATCTAGACTTCGCAGATGATCTGGCTCTTCTATCGCATACGCAACAACAAATGCAGGAAAAGACAACCAGTGTAGCTGCAGCCTCAGCAGCAGTAGGTCTCAACATACACAAAGGGAAAAGCAAGATTCTCCGATACAACACAGCATGTATCAATCCAATCACAATTGACGGAGAAGCTTTGGAAGATGTAAATACCTTTACATATTTGAGCAGTATCATCGATGAACACGGTGGATCTGATGCAGATGTGAAGGCACGGATTGGCAAAGCAAGAGCAGCATATTTACAACTGAAGAACATCTGGAACTCAAAACAATTGGCAACCAACACCAAAGTCAGAATTTTCAATACAAATGTCAAGACAGTTCTACTGTATGGGGCGGAAACCTGGATAACTACGAAATCCATCATCCAAAAGATACAGGTGTTCATTAACAGTTGTCTACGCAAAATACTTCAGATCCGCTGGTCGGACACTATTAGCAACAACCTACTGTGGGAGAGAACAAATCAGATCCCAGTGGAGGAAGAAATCAGGAAGAAGCGTTGGAAGTGGATAGGACACATATTGAGGAAAGCACCGAACTGCCTCACAAGACAAGCCCTCACATGGAATCCTCAAGGTCGAAGGAGGAGAGGAAGACCAAAGAAAACATTACGCCGAAAAATGGAGATGGATATGAGAAAAATGAACAAGAATTGGATGGAACTAGAAAAGAAGGCCCAGGACAGAGTGGGTTGGAGAATGCTGGCCGGCGGCCTATGCTCCATTGGGAGTAACAGGCGTAAGTAAGTAAGTAAGTACAACATTAAAATAAGTTAAGCGATATTTAACAGAAGAAAAGAAGTGTGTTGGGACTAACACACTAAGTACTAACAGAAATCAAAGAATACAGTTACTTTAGAATACAAAAGTGAGTTTAATAGTGGTAAGAAAATTCTACAAGTCCCCATTCAAGCTAAACAAATTCAACTAACAGCTATAGGTAAATACGATTTAACCAACAAGCTAGGTAACCACATTATCACTTTAAGTTGAAAATTCTCTCAACACAGATGCATATACGATGAAAAGTTATCCAATGTCTTACTACGAAAAACACTCAAAGGAGAAGAAAAGTTCTTCCTTACCTGATTCTGAAAATGTCATTTCACCATTTTCAGCTGAATCACTCGTCTTTGATTTCGGTTCATCAATTTTGTTTTTGTCATCTACCAAACAAAACATACAGAGAACCCTAGTTTAATTAATGCTTCGTAAATATCAAAATCAACATTAATTATTGTGTAATTTCGTAAAAAATATTAATAAATTTCAACTTTTACTCTGCAATGAAAAATATATTACCCATTTGGAAAAATATGAAAACATAAGAAAAATTATTATTTAAACACAATCTACCAAATAATTACTTTGATAGCTGAAATCGAAATACCAATATCAAAATCATCGGTAATTTGTAAGATTATTATCGCTATATTGTGGCCAGGGTTCAACTAAATAGTAAACGTATTATTTCAAAAACAGTAAATATAGCTGTAGTCGAATTGGTGCTATTTAATTTACTGCGATGAATGAGCTATAGTAGACAGCTAATAGGACCAGTATGAATGAACTACGACTATAATGTACACTGACTAACTGAGGAATAGTCTCAAAGTAAGAAACTTATACGTTATGAAAGTAATCTATAAAGGGCATCCTATATTTGCTTGATTTACCTGCGATATATCTTTTTTACTAGCTTGATGGGACATTAGAAGCTCGGTGTAAAGTTCCATTCATATTGTCAAATAATAAATAAAACTAGTTTCCGTGTAGTAGTTCTCACAGCTTCTTAATCAAGTTATATCAATATATTCCTCAGCAATATTATCATTATCAACACGAAAAATTCTAATTTTACACGAAATATTGTTAGAGACAATGTGATAACAGTTCATTTACAGAACAAAAATGATTATCTTTTAAGCGCACATATTGATACAGATGAAAACCAAATTCAATTTTGCAAGCAGGTAATTTAACACAATAAGTAAATTATGTGTACATACCTTGATCGAATACTATGTGTTTTGGATTGTCACCGATGTGACTCCTGTCTTTGGTTTTGAACTCCTTTTTCTTATGAGACTGTGGAGTGTTCGCTAAAATAAAAACATTCTGGATACACAAGTGAAAACTGCTATATATATATATATATATATATATATATATATATATATATATATCAACGCTTAATGAGTCTCTGTGTTGTATTTGTTTCGTTCATGTAAGTGCATACAAGAAACACAGAATAAAGAGCAACCACATTAAATGTAAAGTAAGTACGACTATTTCAACATTGGACTATTTACTTACACGAATGCGAATCGGTCATATTTACGTCTATGCACTCATATTTTCGTTTTTTTAATTTGTGCTTTTTATTGGCTAGATAGATGAAAAAGAAGTAAAATTATTCTAAGTGATCAACTCGATATAAATCAATACAGTATTCTATTTTTTAAGTAAATCATTAGGACCAGTCCAAGTAGGAGTGACAAGTTAAACGGTAAGTTTGTTAGTCCATGTACCACATGCGTGGAGCCAATTTACTGGATACTATGAGGTGATCACAGTAAAAGTTGGAATCAAAGATTTCGTACTAAATTACACCATTAGTTCATGAAATGAAAAACCCACAATTTGAATCATTTGGAAGAGATTTAATTTCCATATTGCATATCAGGAAAGGAAAGAAATCAATGGTTTGATACATGAATTGATTACAATAACACAAATCTATTCACTACCCTACTTGACCCTTGAAATTTGTAGCACCTATACTGTTTTCTTTAATCACTTGTTTCAGTTCTCTTTGCTTTGTTTAATATTCATTCGATTTCGGTGCATAAGTTGAGTGGATGTACTTCAATGCAAAATTTTACGTCAATATGTCTAACTGTTACGTAAGTTGTCTATTTGTTGTAGCAATCCCTTACATTGTTTTACTGCTAAATGTAAATCTTCTCTAATGAAATAAGATGAGTAGATAGTTGGTCGTTACGATTCCTAAAGTATACATAATAGAGAATGCAAATAAGCAGTATTCACCTGAGTCTGAAGCCACAAGTTTAATATTCTCCAAAGAGACATCCATTTTTTCAAGTTTCTGTTTTTTTGATTTATTCTTTTTATCTATTGAACAAAGTACAATAAGAATAGACACAATCAAGCATAATGCATTATCGTTGCAACATTGATTCGGTAAAGGAGTGTGTGAAAAATCATCTTTTACTAAAAACATCAGAGAAGCTGATGAAAACCTAGAACGTTTTGGCTGAAATGTGAACTTGTTTCGGTATTAATCAATAAAAGGTTTAAGGATATAGGGTTAGTATATAAACATACGTGAATCAATTTAACAAATTCTTTTATGATAAACATGTACTGTAATATCTGAACATTCAAAGCGGGACATCATACATAAGTGTGTTAAATGTTTCGAAAGGAAAAAGTCAAGCCTTTTTCTAAAACATCATTGTCTGTCAAACATCAGAACAACAACGCTAGAAAAGTTCATTTTTACACTAAAAATTACAATGTGGAGTTAAGCAGGAACCGGTGTCAAGTGATAATTCTTATAACCTTTTAACCATTACTACCGTCAATGATATAGATTAATTTCATGCAATTAGTTCCCTTTATGAATTTAAATAAAGCCAGAACAAACATGGATGCATAATAATATGAATTCATCATATTTTGTGGTTTCTCATCAGCTCTTTACAACTAAATATGTATTAAAATTTTACATTGAGGTAAGATATAATGTGAAACAATTGACATAGATGATTTCATCTCCTTTGGAGCGTAAGTATAAGAAGCAGTTTTTCTTTTCAACTGTGTATCGTATTTAACCCAAAGGTTGGTTTTCGCATGCTTCTCGATTAACTTCGCTGGATATGCATTTTCACGTAAGTAATTTGTAATGAGAGAAATTTCATCTTCCAGGCATTCCGTTGAGCAAATTTTGCGCGCGCGGTCAAAAAGGGTTCTTACAACACCCTTTTTGTAACTCATTGGACAGAAACTGTTGTAATTGAGATAGACTCCACTCCAGATATTTTTGAGGTGAATGTGTCTTTGCAATGTGCCATCTGAGGTTCGTCTGATTCCAATATTTAAGAAATGGGATTTACCTTCTACTTCGTGTTCCATAATAAAATCTATATCCTTGTGTGCTTTCTCAAACAGATTGAGTAGGTTCATAGAATGCATGATTGCTACAGACGAGTAATGTGTCATCAACATATCTACAGTAGTGTAGTTCCATCGATTGCGTGCTTGAGCCTCCTCTGCTTCAGGTTTCTCATAAATATATCGGCCAGAGTTGGACCCAGAGGGCTACTACATCAATTTGGCGGCACAACACATTATTAAATTTAAATTGTATGTTTTTGGTACACAGGAACGAGAGCTGTTTGAATTTGTGGATTGGTAAAGGCAGGAGTTCAGGATATTCACATATGATAACTGCCGTTTCTTTCAAAGGGATCTTTGTGAAGAGTGATGAGACATCAAACGAGACCATGAATTTATCGGAAGCATTTAAGCTGTCAAGTTTTCGTACAAATCTGGAATTACCTTTCGGCCTGTAGTATGATAGTTTCTTGAGGATTGGTTCTATGCACCTACTCAGTCAGCGGGCGAGTCTATGGAAAGGCGATTCGGTCATAGATAATATTGGTCTTATCGGGATGTTAGGTTTTTGTATTTTAGGTAGGCCGTATATGTAAGATAATTACGATTCTTTCGGTTTGAGTTCATTGTACGTATGATTATCGATTAGATTTTTCTTAAAGAGTTCTCTCAACTTTTTTAAAAGACGTTTTTCAGTTGCATCTGTTAGGTCTTTCGACAATAAATCTCACAATGGACATTACTTTGCTAATGTATTTGTCTCTGTTTAGGATGCCTACACCGGAACCCTTATCTGGACGAAGTAGCAATATTGTTTCATCTTTCATAAGCTTTTTCAATGCTTGCTGATGATCTTTAGTCAACACCTTAGATTGCTGAACTGGTGTCGTAACACACTGAATTTGTAATATCCACTAATTTTGATTTCAAACCAACTTTGTTTTACATCGTTCATGGGTTTTAGGCCTGACAACTATTGATATAAATACTCGAATTGCATTTCGGTGTCGATTCTGATACATTTTTTCGAAATATGAGTGGCAAAGCAGCAGGACTAGACAGCATTCCAGCAGAGGCACTGAAAGCAGACGTAGCGGCAACTGCAAGGATACTCCAAACTCTCTTCAGAAAGATCTGGGATGAGGAACAGGTACCAAAAGACTGGAAAGAAGGACTTCTAGTCAAAATACCAAAGAAAGGCGATCTCAGCAACTGTGACAACTACAGGGGAATCACTCTTCTTTCAATACCAGGAAAAGTCTTCAACAGGGTATTGTTAAACAGGATGAAGGACTCCGCAGACGCCCAACTTCGTGACCAACAGGCAGGATTCCGTAAGGATAGATCGTGCACAGACCAAATCGCAACTCTACGGATCATTGTGGAACAATCAATTGAATGGAATTGATCACTCTATATCAACTTCATTGACTACGAAAAAGCATTTGATAGCGTGGACAGAACAACCCTATGGAAGCTTCTTCGACACTACGGCGTGCCTCAGAAGATAGTCAATATCATACGGAATTCCTACGGTGAATTAAACTGCAAAATCGTGCATGGAGGACAGTTGACAAAGTCGTTCGAAGTAAAGACCGGTGTCAGGCAAGGTTGCTTACTCTCACCCTTTCTCTTTCTCCTGGTGATCGACTGGATCATGAAGACGTCAACATCTGAAGGGAAGCACGGGATACAGTGGACAGCTAGGATGCAATTGGATGATCTAAACTTCGCAGGTGATCTGGCTTTTCTATCGCATACGCAACAACAAATGCAGGAGAAGACAACCAGTGTAGCTGCAGCCTCAGCAGCAATAGGTCTCAATATACACAAAGGGAAAAGCAAGATTCTTCGATACAACACAGCATGTATCAATCCAATCACAATTGACGGAGAAGCTTTGGAAGATGTAAATACCTTTACATATTTGAGCAGTATCATCGATGAACACGGTGGATCTGATGCAGATGTGAAGGCACGGATTGGCAAAGCAAGAGCAGCATATTTACAACTGAAGAACATCTGGAACTCAAAACAATTGGCAACCAACACCAAAGTCAGAATTTTCAATACAAATGTCAAGACAGTTCTACTGTATGGGGCGGAAACCTGGATAACTACGAAATCCATCATCCAAAAGATACAGGTGTTCATTAACAGTTGTCTACGCAAAATACTTCAGATCCGCTGGTCGGACACTATTAGCAACAACCTACTGTGGGAGAGAACAAATCAGATCCCAGTGGAGGAAGAAATCAGGAAGAAGCGTTGGAAGTGGATAGGACACATATTGAGGAAAGCACCGAACTGCCTCACAAGACAAGCCCTCACATGGAATCCTCAAGGTCGAAGGAGGAGAGGAAGACCAAAGAAAACATTACGCCGAAAAATGGAGATGGATATGAGAAAAATGAACAAGAATTGGATGGAACTAGAAAAGAAGGCCCAGGACAGAGTGGGTTGGAGAATGCTGGCCGGCGGCCTATGCTCCATTGGGAGTAACAGGCGTAAGTAAGTAAGTAAGTACAACATTAAAATAAGTTAAGCGATATTTAACAGAAGAAAAGAAGTGTGTTGGGACTAACACACTAAGTACTAACAGAAATCAAAGAATACAGTTACTTTAGAATACAAAAGTGAGTTTAATAGTGGTAAGAAAATTCTACAAGTCCCCATTCAAGCTAAACAAATTCAACTAACAGCTATAGGTAAATACGATTTAACCAACAAGCTAGGTAACCACATTATCACTTTAAGTTGAAAATTCTCTCAACACAGATGCATATACGATGAAAAGTTATCCAATGTCTTACTACGAAAAACACTCAAAGGAGAAGAAAAGTTCTTCCTTACCTGATTCTGAAAATGTCATTTCACCATTTTCAGCTGAATCACTCGTCTTTGATTTCGGTTCATCAATTTTGTTTTTGTCATCTACCAAACAAAACATACAGAGAACCCTAGTTTAATTAATGCTTCGTAAATATCAAAATCAACGTGTAGCATTGTATAATAATAACCTCCTTTAATTGTTGTTTTTTAATTAAGTGAATTTAAGGAAGTGTAAATAGACACAGTCGATAAAAGAAGTCATTGTAGACTAGTAGAAAAAGATACTTAAAGCTTTTCTCTTCTGGTTTGACGTGGGTTTTCTGATATCCTTTCGCGATATATACTAAGTACAAATATATAGAATGATTTGAGCATCTGGCATGCTTCATATTAAACTAAGTGTCGCAACTACTAAACGTCGATCACCTAACAAAGTTAATACAAACCTGAACAGAAACATAATTTTAAAAGAAATACTTCACTACTAGTTTGTAAACATAAAGCTTACCGTCAGTTGGTGGTTTTAGCTCAATTTTTTGAGATTTGAAATTCTTTTTGTCTGAGCATAGAAATAAAGAGAAGTATAAAAATCAAATAATAATTTGTAATTTATTGGTAAATATGTATACATAGGACATTGAGGTGAGAAAGTATACATATAAATATACGTAGCAAATTATTAAACAACAAATTAATGAAAAAATAGACAACTGGCTGACTGAAGTCACTGGGCCAATAATTACATAATCAAATACCATAACTACATGAAAAAAAACAACTGCATACAAAAATTCTGTCGGTCAGCTGGTTGAAAGTAATCAAAAATGAATGGAACCTGCTATTTCAAACAAGATGGCATCTGAAGAACAACAATAATTGCCATTAAACAACTGGTTACTCGATAATTTTGTTCATCATTTCAAAACATACACCAGTACAGTGAATAGATTGCATATTTGTTTATTGTGAGTAGCATTCGAAACTTTCTTAATGCCACAGATTTCTGATTAATTCAGATTTTCGAATAATAAGTTTAGGAAAACAAAATGTATGGTATACATATAATGAGTACTGGTCATTAATATTACTAGTTTATTTTACTACTTAATGTACGATGTTTGGAGTTCCCAACAAACTTTCAAAAATTAAGATTGTTCAACCTAAAAGTTGCTCCATGAAACTCAATGTGATGAATTGGTTTAAACAATAAAATGTGCCCAGGTTAGAACCTCATTTCATTAGCCAAAATTTATACATTCTAACAAAGTCATTATACTTTACATAACAGGTGTATACTTGTACGCAATTACTAGCATCATATTATATATTCATGAATACAGCAACACTTACACCATGATTGTATGTGCAGGCGATGTTGGTCGATACCTTTTCTACGAAGTTTTTTAACAATTAACTGATTAGATATCATGTTCTTGAGAGTGAGAAATACATTTCTGAAGAAAAAAAGAGATATTAGCTAGAAATGGAGGATGGTGATATACATAAAATTTAAAAAAGAACAATGCATTGGAACAAGAGATTCAGCTATATATATATATATAGAAAGATTACACATGTGTATAGAAATTTGCGCAAAGATGAGCAAATGTGTATTACCTGCATAATGGATTACTAGTAGGCACTGAACAATATTCAATTATGGACCCCAATGGAAACTGCTGTCGAAGTCGATCATCTTGTATTGATGTAGACAGTTTGCATATTTTTATACCAAACGTAGCGGCTTCTTTAGTATTTGCTTTGGTGTTTTCGGATTTAATTGCAAAATGAAGACCGGGCAAGGCAGATACACGGCGACCACCGATCACTTTATGTTGACAAGCATCCAAAACAACTTGAAGATCATCATGACATTCAAACTCAAGCAAACAGGATCTAACAAACCAATCAAAAAAAATAAAAATACCATTAGAAATAAACTATGAAGTTCGAATACTAGGTGCGAATGTCGAAAATACCAAAATATTTTGGATTACTTACTTGCAGCATCATAGTGAGCACTGAACTATTTTTATCCAATTCTTCAGTGACAACATTCACGCCAGTGAATGAATCAGGTAAAAATCATTCAAAAAAGTGGATTAAATTGGAAGTCTACCCAGAATTGAATAGGTTTGTGCATAAAATCTGTGATGCCACGCCAATTAATAACACTTACCGACGTTTTGGATGATGGACAGTTCAGCTAGTCTGCTGCTCCGTTAACATTAATCAGATTATCCTATCCTTCCTGACCAGCGTTGACAGATCCACCTAGCAGGGCGGAAGTTCACAGGGAGCTCCAACCTTTGAAGCTCAGCAAATCACTAGGTCAAGATAACTTATCTCCAACCATTTCTGGGGATGGTGGCGAACGACCTTTTGATTGTGAAACTGATTGAGATTTTCCGAAAGGTCGGGAATCAATGTTTGAATGTTATTCTGTTGAAAGAATGGATATAAACTACTTCCCAGTCTCACGATGTCATAAAATAACTTAGCCGAAACTAACCTTATTTTATTATAAAAAAATAAATTTGCGTCTCGAATGCAACCTAAGTAGGAAATTTGGAGTCATTATATTCAAGCTTGGAGTTTCGTTCCATTTTCGTTATATTATAGTTATTTTAACGGTGTTTGAAATAAGTAGTCAAAGTTGGTTCATCAGAACAGTAATCGAAGTTTCGGAGATAGTCATCGATCTGCATTAGAAAAATAGTATTTATTGTGCTAGTAGTATTCACTGAAAATACTATCAACTAGTTTATCTTAGATAGATTTTTTATCGACTATCGCCTGTTAATATTTGCTTTACTAGATGTAATCTACCAACTGTTATGACTCTGATGTTTTGCATTTCACTTCAATCCAACTGCTGAAGTCAAAATAAGACGAGTTACCAAAATGTGCACACAGAAACATACAACAGTTTTAAAGAAAGTTTCACAAGATATGGAGCGCTGTTATATTTATTCTGAACGAAAATACTAATGAACCACTAGATTTTTAATTGTCAAAATTTAGCGTCAATATAAATTATAATTGTCATCTGAGTACCAACATGGAAAACATAATTTATAGAGAAAGAATAACATCTAAATCTTACCCTTTATTAACTCCAGTTTTCTTCGTATTTATTATGATTGATTTGGCTGTAGGAAATTCATCTTCTAACTCAGTTGTAGTAATAGAGTATGGTAAGTTATGAATAGTCAGTCTTAATTCACCACTCTCAGGTTTTTTCTTTTCAGTTTTTTCATGGCGTGTAACTTGCCTAAATAATGGCTTTCATAATGAACAAATTGGTAAAAGAATATAACAGTTAAAACAAAACAAAAAACTTCGTGGAAATAAAGCTACTTGGTATTGTCCTCTCCTAAGTGTTTGCATATTGATGTAAGAAGCAATTGTAGCACGAAATAAGTGGTCGTTGATTATTGAATACACGTAATCTACAGATCGATTAGTGACCTGATGTGCATGCATATAAAAACGGATAGAACGTGTGCTTTCTTTCCAAAATAATTTGCGACACCAAATGAAAAAGGTAACTCAAGTTAGTAAAGTCCTATTCACTATTGTATCACAACGAGAATGTTTTCACACATTATCTCTATAGACGGGGAGTTTTTCCAAGGGGTTTTGAGACAGTAAAATTTCATACCAGAGAAAATCATGTAGACAATCTAAATGTAGCACTAACAGGATAAAACTTACGATGCTACTTTAAAACATTGCAGAATAGTCCTTGAATTGGTCAAGTTATACATACCAGATTACGTAAAAATAAAAATATCATCATAAGAAATTAGTGTACAATCTGAAACCACTTTTTCTAGTGAGGTTATTCAACGTCATAATTTCTTAAATTAAATTAAATCGTAGCTTAAGCTTTATGTGGCGAAGGCCAACCGTTTAAAGTGAGACGAATAAAGAGATAATTAAAGTACTAATGCATGAACGGAGTATTATTCTTCAATAGATTTTCTTTGGGTTCTAGAGTTTCACATTCAAATTAATAATCCAGAGTGACCACGTTTAAGAAAAGTACATCATATAAGACCAAAGCATGTGAATTTAGGATTGTTCGTAAAACAAATAAAAATTACAGCAGAACCCAAAGTGAATCTACTAGAAACAATAATCATCGTTCATATATTAGTATTTTAATATGAGGATTTTTAAAAGAAATATCTGCTTAGAAGCAATGGTTTAACTAGTGGTCGCTGAGCTTTTTTAACATCCTACTATTGAATATCAAAGTTGTAAACTTTCCCGCACTGTGATTCCAAAGGCATCTCATACTGTTTTCTTATTCATGTTTTAACATGTTTTTCGTCTTCGTATATGTAGACGCGTTACCATACTGTTAGGCATTCCTTAAAAAAATAACCTAACCTAAAGGTCGTGACTTAAACAGCCAACAAAATGAATTTTACATTTTCATGAAGCACAATTGATATTACAGCATATCTTCAAATAATTAAGTATTGTTCTACATTAACGTGATGGCCATAACAAGCTTTGGTTCAAAGAGAAAATAGTAAACTCAGTAGGAAGATGTGATTTGCCATTCGTACTTTTCATACGGGGATATTTTTTAAATGAAGCGGAGAATTCATTTGATACTTGATCAATAAACTCATCATAATCAGATTATAGTAGTACATCTTTGCTGAACAACCAGACACAAGTGCGACGCCTCTTCCGTCGATCAGAGAAGCACAAATAAATGGTGTGGGATGTCCAGATTGCGCGAAAAACCGGATCATTCAACGTCACAGAAATGACAATACACAAGCCAGATTTGTGTGAAATAAGTAAAACTATATGTACATAATCTGGACAGAAAACATTTCATTTCAGGAGAACTGTTGTATTCTCGTCATAAGGAAGAGAGCGCCACACATACACGAGTTGCACTGACGCTGTTCAGAAAAACACGAAAACCGCCTATAACATGGGAGGCCTAAGGCGACAGGATTATCGAAACATCCTCCAAAGCAAAAAAGAAAACATTGCAACGAATATGCTCACTAATACACACCTATCAATGATGTCAGTAAAGATGATGAAGACCTATTCTACCAGAGAATACAGTCCATCGTAAAAAAATGTCCAGTGAACACGCATACAGGATCCTAGTGTGGTCATTCACTTGACCTCACCTCGCCAAAACTAGGATCCGACGAGATAGACCCTCTGGGATCTGCCGACGCGACGACTACTTCTCGTGGACTGGCGGGTGTAGGCAAAGTACTAAGTATGAGCGCAGAACACTTTTAGAATGGGTCTCCGTTAACGGGATGTGTAAGAAACCAGATCGACCAATCAAGAACAAAGGTAAACCAACCAGTGAGAGCCAAGAGCCGTGAAACAGGTGGACAGAGCACACTGAATAGACCAGCAGAAGTTGAACCAGACGGCATGCCAGACGAAGTACTGGCGTCAATTATAGCAGAAACTGAGATGTTCAATGTTCTATTTAGGAAGATTTGGGAGGAAAGAAGGATTCCTAATCTTGGAGGATGTGAGAACTACATGTACAGCACATTTCTATCAGTCCCAGTCAAAATTTTCAAGTGTTGCTAAACCGAATGAAAGCTTCAATTGACGTTCAACTTCGAAATCAACAGTATTTCGTAAGGATCGGTCATGTACAGACCGAACCTCAACACTGTGGGTCATTGTTGAGCAATCAATTAAACGAAACTCAACTCCCTTGACTATGGGGGGAGACATTCCAGTGTCGATGAGAATCCATAAAGGCTGTCTACTCTCATCTTTTCTCTTTCTCCTGGTTGTTGACTGAATTATGAGACCTCCACATCTCAAGAAAAACACAGAATACAGCGGACAGATGATTTAGCTCTTCCATTCCACACACAGCAGCAAATGCAGGTGAAGACGGCCAGTGTATAAGTAGGTTTATATACTCGCAAGGGAAGAAGTGAGACCATGAAATATGATACAGCAAACATCAACTGAATCGTACATGATGGCGAAGCTCTTGAAGAGGTGGAAACCTTTACACACCTCGGTAGTATCACTAATAATCAATGGTCTGATGCGGATCCAAAGGTATGCGTTAGTTGGTTAAGAGCAACATTCTTACAATTGAAGAATATCAGGAGCTTAAAAGAACTCTCATCCAAGATCATAGAATTTTCCACATTAACATCAAGACAAGACCACCACGAAGAAAGTACAAGTATTCATAAACGACCACTTACACTAGGTACTACAGATGGTTATAAAAAAAACGTACTCTATCAGGAGTAAAGCTATATGTAAATTGAGTCAGAAATTAGACAGATAATGTAGATGAACAGAACAAAACTTGAAAAAGCCCCTATACTCATGTAAACACTAACTTAGAATACTTAAGCCAGAACGAAAAGAAGCAGATAACGCTACCAATCAGAGGCAAGCATCAAGACCATGAATACTGATTGGTAAGGAGGGACCAGAAAAAAGTTACTTGGGGATTTTCGGCCGGCGGTCTGCCTCTGAAGATGGGTAGCTGGCTAAAGAAATGTAATCAAATAGTTTTGAAAACAAGAATCAGACTAAAATTGGAATCCATTACTAATGCTACTTAGCACGACTACTCAACTCATAAAACCAAACCCTTTGCTGTATACGATGATGTTAGAAACTAAGTAACTCAGTCTAAAACTCTTAAGAAACATTTATTGCTAACCGGAATTTGGCCGATATTATCTTACCTTGACCCCGTCAAACTCAAATCCCTCCAAACGACTAATGGCATTTGAATAGTCATCCACGGTATAGAAATTGGCAAATGCTAGACGCTTTCCAGATTTCCTGAATAGATGCAAGCGTGCAGCTGACGGTATGGCATCTTTGAGCATTGAATAATTTATATGTTTGGGCAGGTTGGTGATGAGTAGAGATAGACAATTCTGACTGCTTACACTACAATGGTCTGTGAGAGCAATGAATAATTAGGTTTAAACTAGTATAAAGTGATTTATCTTGACATATATTTAGTAAAACGTCAGGTAAAATAATATCAACTAAACTTGGACGTATGATGCCAGCGATACCAAATGTAATTATCGATCAAACCTTATACCACCTTGAAAATGTATTCATTACATTGAGTTTCGGAACATATGAGTTGCTGTAAGGAAAAAAATAACTAACTGCAAAATAACCTCCACGTATTACTTTACCAAGTAATGTATGAACATATATCTAGTAATAGTAGCACTAACGACTTGGAAATCCTTTCCCAGAAGCAACGTCATTAACTGGATACACCAGATGATTATTTACTTTTTTATTTAAAACTACACGCCAATACATGAATTTTTAGATTTGTAATAATGAGAGGAAACAAATGCAAAGAACTTTAGTTAGACATTTCACTATTTGTATCACCAACCTTAACACATAAATTTGTCTTGAAAACCACTGACTCCAACTTCATAAATGATAAGAATGTGATGATGGAGACTTTTAGCTCAGACTGGTGGTTATGAAGCTCAGGAAACTAAGTTCCACCGGAATGATCAAGATAATTTGATCATAAATGTTCCGAACCTTACACCTTCCTAAAGAAATGTTTTGATGTATTTAGCTTAACAGGTGTTTCTGAAATTTATCAACTATATATTATATTTATCTTACGTAATCCATACCTTTACTGCTCATAGTAGAATCAGGATGCTCGTGAGGACGCTTTGTTACATTTTTATTTTTCTCCCGTCGAGTTTTCTTCTTTGATCTTAAGCGATCAGATTCCACGTACTGACTGTTCATCTTGAGACTAGATGTCAAAAAAGTATTTTTTTCAGATTCAGTCGTTTTATCCTCAACTGTAGAATTAGTATACTTTTGCCGCTTCTTCTTTGAATGCATATGCATATATACTTTTATATCACTTTTGCTTGTACCATCTTGTCTGAGAAGCTTTTCCTTGATATTATGAGGGTTGCGTTTTTTGTTCAACTTTACCGATCCAGAATCAATTATCGGCTTCATCCTAACAGAGGTGATACAAAAGTAAGCTTAGAACTTATGAAAACTAGTTATTGACTCATTATAGTTTACGGGAAAACCAATAAAATCTAAAACAGAAAGTCCCGAGTTTTGACGCGTTATCAGTCAGTCAGTCAACTGCAACGTAGGACCAGGCACATATATGCACCGGTCCAAGTTGCCATACTTCATTAGCACAACAAGATGAACACCGGACTCATAGAAGTAGTTAATTCAATGGTGGTAATATCTAACAGAAAGATTGCATATAAGGACATAGTACATGATGAAAGAATCAGTTCGTTGAAAGAATGATATAAAGCTATTTTAATCTCACAGTCTAAGGAAAGACAAGGAGTGTATACACCGACAACATTGTGATCGATTCCCAGCCATGTCGCACAGAGTCTCTAACCATTGGTTACAACAGTCACGCGGACTCCAACCAAATAGTCTGCATCTACCAACATGGCTCAAACCAGAAGTTAGTGATTTCAAGCACTGACGCCACGTTGTGGTTTGGCCGCCTCTAACTTTCTTCCAGTCATCCCTAACACCGGTTAGCATTGCGCGCCGTGGTAATCGGTGTTCAGGCATACGCAACACGTGGCCCAACCATCCCAGCCGATAAAGATTCACAACCTCATCAACTGATTTATCATCATTCCCTAATACCCTGTGTCTAACCTCACTATTACTTACCTGGTGATCCCAGCAGATGTGAGAAATATTTCTAAGGCACCTGTGGTCAAATACTAGTAACTTACGAGCCGTATAGTAAAACGGAACGAACTGCCGCGCGGTATACTCGTCTCTTAATTGATAGATGAATATCTCGCCTTTGCCATAGGTGACGTAAGTTGGCAAAGGCCAAACGAGCTTTTCGAATCCGTGCTGAGGTTTCGTCGGACACCAACCCATTAGGGCTGATCAGACTTCCAAGACAAGTGAAGTTGTCAACGCGTCCGATTACTACACTCCCTATCCTTAGTTCAGGTGTTGACGCAGACCAATCCTGAAGCAACAACTTGCATCAAGAGGGAGAGAAGCGCATCCCAAACATTCTGGTATTGTTGCTCAGTGCCACCAAAAGACTCTGCATGTTATCAGCGTCTTCACCAAACAGGACTATGTCATCTGCGTATTCTAAGTCGACAAGTGGACCTCCTGGTAGATCGATGCCCGAGAATTCAGTCGATGAGAGCGTTATTTCCATCAGTACGTCTATGATGAAGTTACACCAAAATGGAGAAAATGGACGCGTTATCCATTTATTCATATGTAAAGTAGCATTTCGCCATTACATATCACGTAAGTTCCTAATGAAATACTTAACTCCTAACCAAATACTAATCCTAATCCCTTACAGTAATTTTTAACTCTACTAAGGTAGGCTTTCCCTAAGTCTTTCTTATCATGGTCATAATATGAATATCCATCTGCCATACTCAATACCCATGTTTGAAATTACCATAGCTCAGTGCCAGTAAAGTCAATAAACAATGTTACAAGAACATGAAGCTGTCTTAATCGAATAAAATAACTGGGAGGGTACATTAGCTCAGTACTCAGAAACAGATCTCATTAAGACCGATTCGCGGTACATAGACCATGCACGGAAGACAGCATCATATTGCAAGTAGGACAAAACTAGTTGGCATGTTTATTAGAAATGCTGATAGTATGTACATGGGATACTTGGAAGGTCGACTTATTAGTCTCAAGATCTTGGGGAATAAGATCGAGGGAATCTTGAGAACAAAGGAATACATTTAAGTGTTACAGCTGAACAAATGAATCCAAAAGTACTACCCACAACTTATTAGCAATAATTATCCGCGTTAAATTGTTCACTGAGAGAGTGTTGACTGGACTACTACAATGCGAATTGTGATAATTAGATATCGCGATTCTGGGAGTGGGTGTCGAAAGGACAGATATGGTAAGAAAATTTCAGTCTTAAATTATTATCATTTGATATACCTACACACAAATTTTAATACATACACCACCTATCTCCACTGTTAGGAATCCGAACGCATAACTCCTAACTTACAAACAGACAGAAGTTGAAACACGTGAACAATCCACAGGTGTCGAAAATGTCAGGCAGGCGCGTTTTATCAGATCATAATAAAACGGGCGTGATCAAACAACTTCCCTTTAAGTATCATTAGCTACCTAGGTTGCAAAAAATTACAAACAGCCACACCATGGTGGCTAGCAATATGCACTGAAAAGAGCAAACGTTATTCAAATGTGTGATGTTTTTATGAAGTAACGATTCCTTTGTATTGTTGAATGCTTCCTTTCGAATTCCAAATACAGTACATTCGTTCATGCTTATCAAGTACTTCTTGGTTAAATTGCGTTATTTCTGGGATTTTCAGTTCTTATTTTAATTTAAATACACCTAATTATCATATTGTCGTGGTGATGGTGCCTGCGGTGGAACAGTTAGATATTCATTCAACTTCTGAAGCTTTTGAGGAATATTTGGAGAGGTTTGAAATCGAGAAAGACGTTAATGGTGACAAAATTGTGACACATTTCTTGACATTCATCGGAAAAGAAGCACACAGCTTATTAAAACCTTTGGCATAACCAAAATAGCCCATCTCACTTCCTTATGCAACTCTTAAACAATTAATATTGAGTCATGTAAAGTGCACCGGTTTTGAATGTCGTGAAAGGGCGAAATTTCATAATACGATTCGACAGAATGGGCAAAAGATTAAGGAACGTATCCTTGAATTGCAGAAACAAGCTGTCAAATGTAATTTCGGTGATCAACTTAATGTGCAACTGAGAGATCGACTAAATGCAGGAATTGATATATTGAATTTAGAAAGAGGGCTATTAAGAATGCCTAAATGTTCCTTTTAAGATGCTAGAACTGTATGTGTTAACTACGAGGAAGTGAATTAACTTGACATCTAGTCGATCAAAGTTTCTTATAATTCGCTTCGTCGTCATGATGAAATACAATCTCAGAGTCAACCAAACTTGCGTCCGTTTAATAGTGGTTTTTATTCTCGTGTAAATATGAAAGCTATTTCAAGAAGGAATTACACAGCGAATCGCAAAGGTGAGGTCAAGTTTGGAAACTGTTTATCCTGTGGTAAATTTCATTCTCGTAATTCATGTGCATTTCTTAATGCTAAATGTTTTAAATGTGGTAAAATAGGACACTACTACTGTTCATTTTGCCTCAAACAGTACTAGATCTTGTACTTTAAATCTCAATAATTCGGCTGTTCCTAGTTATCATTTATTTTTGTCCACCATTTCGAAAAGTAATGCTCATATTCGTGAATTTGTTGTGGACACAGGCAGTATAGAGTCCATTATTTCATTCAAGAACTTGAAATCTTTAGATTCTAACGTTGTGGTATGACCCGTTGAAGTCTTAATATTCAGGATTACTGGACACTTACTGCCTATACGAGGATGTTGTGAGTTGCTAATAAGAGATGATAATTCTGCATACATACCTTGTGAATTTTTAGTTGGCGAAACAGGACTGAAGAATTTGAAAAGGCTTAAAAAGGGAGTTGTCTTAATGAGTTTCTGATGCTTTACTTGAAGATTTGATAGCCACGTGTGCTAAGTGCAGCGGGGGTATAAAAATTCAGTCTATAAAATTCCAAGTACATGGTGATCCAGTCTTCCTTAAAATACGAATAATTCCTTATGGTCTTCGAGAAGCACTACACAAGAAATTGAACGATATGTGTGCAAAAGATGAAATTGAACATGGGGCACTCCTATTGTTACGCCACTGAAGTCGGATGGCAAAACCTTTAGAATATGTGGTGATAAGGTAGTTCATGAACAGATACTTGTTGCTTTATCGCATTGTTTAATTGAGAATATTACAGTGAATCCATATAAGTGCGCATTTTATTTTTCTAGTTTTAATGTCTTGAATACCCAGTTGATGGTAATGGTTTAAAACCAGATATGGAACGACTCGCTCCACTGACAAATACACCGTCTCCAGAAAATCTTGCAGAACTACGTTCACTGGTGCGTGTTTAGTGGAGCCATTTATTTTCTCGTCATTTAGATCGGACGATGTTGTCGAAAGGCTGTCCAATTTAGTGGCCCGTGATCTGACTCCAATTAGATAGTATGAATGATTATTGTTGAATAATTCCTGTCGAAATGTATATATCGCCTATCCTCGTATATAATCATCGACTTAAATAGCGCCAGTCAATAACGGAATGAAATTAGTTAAATACTAGAATGGATTTCGAATACGTATATTTCATACAATCTTTGATCCAGACAAAATATCGGAGAATCGAAGAGAAAAGAACAAAGCGAAACAACGCACAGTAGAGAAGGCACGTGAGCCAACTCCATTTAGTCAAGCGTTAATCAATATTTATAGTCACACAAAAATAGGCTACAGAAATGTGATGAATAGGATAATAGCTGTACACACACATACGCTCATATAAAAACAGTCAAGATTGATAAGCGAATAATTAACAAGGTCAAAAAATGACTCAACTAGAATGAATAGATTGGCCTGTCCGAAAGCCAGGATAAGGCATATGGGCTTAACATAATAACCGACATTACAGGTGCTCTTCAACACTATTCCCGTTGTATTCCTAGTTTTTCTTGTCGTGGAAATTGTTTATGTAATATTTTGACATCCAATTCATTCAAATGGGGTGAGGAACAAGAGTCAAGCTTACGAAGTCTACTAAAGTTTCTTCAAAGTAATGCTGTTCTTCGAACTTATTCCCGTTGTGTACATTCTGTGCTTGTTACTGATGCAGGAAGGTAGACCAGTTAGCTGTGCTGTGTTGTATCATTTAATTGGGAAGAGTATTTCGGTGAATCCAAACAAGTGTTCATTTTGTGTATCTAGTTTCAAATGTCTTGAATACCTGGTTGATGGTAACGGTTTTAAATTAAAATATGAAGTTACTGGTCCCACTGACAAATACACCATCTACGGAAGACCTTTAGTGGGTGCACTTCAATACTATTCCCGTTTCGTTCCTAATAATAATTTTCCTTATCGTGCTATTTGTTTATCTCAAATTTTGATATCCAATCCAGCTAAATGGCGCGAGGAACAAGAGTCATGCTTACAAAGTCTACTCAAGTTTTTTAAAACCGATGCCGTTGTTCGAACTTACTCTCTTAGTTTACATTCCGTGTTTATTACTGGTAAATCATCTGTGGATGTTGGTGCACTTTTGCAGCAGGAAGGTGGACTGGTTATCTTTGTTTCACGCAAACTTCCTGTTACTGAACAAGGTTATTCACAAACTCAGCGAGAAGCATTGTCTGTGTTTCGAGCTGTTTAAAGACCTCATAGATATTTATATGGAAAGAAATTCACCATTGTTATGGACCATGAAGCGTTAAAATTTATTTATCATCCTGAAAAATCTTTAGCACGCTCTTCTGCTGCTATGGTTCAACGATGGAATATTACTTTGAGTGATTATGGCTATATTATTCAGCACGGTATTGGCAAATTCAACACGTTGACAACATGTCTCAACAGTCATTACAAGGTAAACCTGTCAATACTGAGGACTGTTTATTGGTGCAACCTTTACTGACGAGACGTCCAGATTTCATTAGAGAAACTCGTAGATACATTGGACATATACTCAGTGCTATCCGGAAAGGTTGGAATGCTGATATGAAATATAAATTCCCTGTCTATTTTTTCGAAAACGGGATGAGTTGCTCACTACTCCTGATGGTATTTTGTGTTTAAATTATTGTTGTTATTCCTCCTTCATTGCGTAAATTTGTCCTTGGAGATCTTCATAGTGGGTATTTAGGTGTTGAGAAAATGAAGTCCTTGGCAAGGTTCACGTGTTGTTGGCCAGAGATAAATACAGATATATTTCGTTCAACAGACAAATGTGAAAAATGTCATAAGTTGAAAATTCAGCTTTCGAGGTGGACTCCATGGCCAGTATCGTCTGAGGCCTGGCAGACAATTCGTGCAGACTACTGTGTTCCGTTTCTTGGCAAATACTGTGCGTTTGTAGTCATTGATATTTTTCAGAATGGCCTAAAGTTCTTTTGACAGCTTCATCAAATACTGACTTCACCATCCAAGCACTAAGTAAGGTGTTTAATCGAGAAGTATTTCCCATGGTGTTAGTGACTGATAATGGCTCTCATTTTGCTGCGGATGCAATCGCTACCTGGTTGAACGGTATAAGGTGCAAACATCTGTTTACTGCTCCCAGACATCCTTGTTCTAATGGTCAGGCAGAAAATTTTGCCAGGACATTAGAAACTGCCATTGATTCTATTGTCTCTTCAACATTTAATGAAATGGGAAGGGGATCGGTTGGTTTTCTACTGCAATATATAAATTCTAGACATTCTGTGACAAACGCTATTAAGAGGAAGAATTCTTCGTTCGAATATGAGGTGTTTAGAGTCTGCGGAAATTACATATTGTCGTGGAAATGCTTTTCGTTTAGCCACGAGGATTGCGCTGAAGAATCACAATCTCCCAAGTTTGAGGAAACCTCTAAAGTCAATTGACCTCCACCAAGGTTAAAGGGGAATTTCGGGTAAATATTGTGGAATTTCTCCAGATCTGGGGAAATTTTGGGGTTTTGGTGCAATTTTCCCAAAATTTACTATAGCGGCTTTCCAAACATTTCCCCAAAATTAGTCAAATTTTCCACAAAATAAGGTGATCGGGATGTTCGGAAAATCTGTAGTGATGTATTTTTGTCAACAAAACGCGATTGGGTTAATGGAAACAATCATTATTATAACCAATTGTACCAGTGATCGTTTTACTTTACTTGTTTGTTTAACTGTACTAAAGACAGCCATTACTCTCTCCTCCCCACTGACTTTGACCCTGTACGAATTCGGTTACGCTCAGTAACCTCACTTGTAATCTGGCACGATCTCGGTACTCTTTCGTCAACACGAGATCGCCAGCAAATACATCTCGACTACAGCCATCATCTGCCTTCTGATATTCGGCCTACGGGGGATCTTATCGGTTAACTGGCACGTAGTCTTCTTGTAGTGGTGATCATAGTCAACCGCGACTCGACGCCACGCTACAATTGGTGAGCCGAATTCTAGATATCAATGATTTAAGTACACACAACCAAAATGTTGATCAAATACAATTCCGGAAACCAAATGAGTCTGTTTCAATTTCGGCTGTTAATTCTAATACATTCCAGATAATGCAGAGACTTTATCCAATACACTGTCGGACAGACACAGGATGAATTTAAGAAGACGTACAATCGAT